CTCCTGCTTCTGCCCGGTCTGCGGGGCCACTCTGGGCTCCAGGGGTAAAGTGCGGCGGCGGCGAGAAAAGAAGCCTGGCGCAAACAAGGGGGCGGCCTCGCTTTTTGGAGGTTGTTCGCGGCTGCCTGCGGGAGCGGTGTAACTCCTGACAGGGCGGGGGGATGGCGGTGCCGGCTGCGTCCCTCCTGGCGTGGCAGCCCCAAAAAAATGCTGCGTCTCGTAGTCGTGGCCGTGCCTTTGCCTCTTCGTGACGGGACGTCTCGTGTCACTTTGTAGTTTGACGGATGATCTCTCCCATGAGAAACTGCAGTCTGCCTAATTGCTCTATCTTAACAATTAGTGATACTGAATTGAAAACGTACTAAAAGCTTAGTGTGCATTAAATCAAGATAAATGATCGGGAGCTTGAAGGTAGCCTTGCCTTGGTAAAAACACGCTATGAAACACACAGTGCATCTCAGTGGGTCAGAATTTTTAGAGCAGCTTTGCTCTGTGGTGCTTAAGTTGAAACACTTTATTTTTAGTAATGGCTATGAATTATTTAACAGATGCTATGGTAGTGGTGGGAGGCCCTTATCAGGAGAAGGTTTTTAGAAACAACTTAATTATTACCATAAATAATTTACAGATTAATTCCTTTTCCACTGTGGAAGCATATATGTAGTTCTGTGAAGGCAGTAGGAGTACACGCTTGCTTCTGAAATTGAACAGCCCTTTGAAGGTTTGGGGCCAGATGACAAGTGATATCTGCAGGAAATAGTATAACTTCATATATGTTTACATATATGTTTTCATATACTCAGAAATGGACTGTTAATACAGAGGCCTTTTAATAGTAGCTGCTGACTGATTTGAAATTATTTTTAGAGCGTTTCATTTCTCATCTGGATGGAATTGTGGGTTATATTTGCTTCTCACATCCAAGTCTGCTAGTAATTGTCTCCATTTTCAAACAAAAGTCATCCAGAATTAAGAGCCTGAAAGTTCAGGTGCTGACTAGTAAGAGTCAGGTTTCCTCTCTCTAAAGTGATTAAAAACTACCCTAGCTTTTGAACAGGAGTGCAGTGCTAAACAACTTCGTGATTATACACCACTCATTCGTAGTATTACTGAGACAGGGAAACTATTTATTGAGGACAAAATATCCTATAATTCTTCCTGGTGAAAATTTGAAATATAATCAGTGAAGAACTAGTGACTGTCAGTTTATCTAGGTGCAGTTCTGTCATTCATACCATTGTTCTTACGGTGTTGACATGAGTGAAAAGTTGAAGTCTTATATTTATGAAAAACGCAAAGAAGAATAAAGGAAAAGTTTCCCGAGCTCTTAACTAGCATGCTCATTTCAAGTTTAATTAATTCTTTTCAAAAATACATTAAATACTAGTTTCTCTCTCTCCTTCAGTAGCTTACTTGTTCTCCAAAGTTTGCTGTATGTCTAGCGTGTCGCTGGAGAGAGCTTAATGATTTTTGACATTATTTGGGTGTGCACAGACAGTTGCAAGAGACCAGTTTAGAGTTGCTGCATCCCTTCAGTAGAATTACAGTAGTTGTGGTGCAGAGTAAAATTGTCTTCATTGATGCTTCCAGTGTATTCTTTCCATGACAACAAACACATTTTACTGTGCACTGCACTGAGCTATGAGTAGGGGTCTGGTTGCTCCATCTTAGCTGAGAAGGCCCTTTTAATTGCTCAGTCATGATTGTTTCCAGTTGTTGAGTTACGCTCTTGTCTACCAGCACTTGAGTTCTGGTAGATTTAACTGGTGTTTTACCATCCTGCTGACTCTAGCAATCCATCTTGCATTTTTGACTGAAAGTACTGATTCCCCATTTTGCTTTTATACAGATGGATGAACATGTGCCAGATCATTAGCTGTCACAGTTTGTAGTGACAAAGTAGTTTATGTTGGATTTATGCTAGCAGGTTGGACGGTAGACAGAAATATTTCTGGCACAGGAGTTGTTTTACTAGAACAATCACTTGCAGCACAATGACTAGGAGGACATCTGTGGATAACAACTCTTAAAACCAGTGTGACTGATCGTGAAAAGTTCATTAAGCCCTAAGTGACAGTCAGTGTCTTCCATAAAACAGTTTCAAAGGGCTGAGGTGACTTATGATCCCATAAATTGCTACAGAATAGACTGTGGACTTGTAAATATACAAGGCCTTTGAAGTTACCAAATCACAGAATTTATAAACCTGCTTGTCACAGCTCTTATAGGTAGAAGGATGTGAAACACTGAGAAAACTAATTCTTTTGTACTAGAATCATGTTTGGATGCAGGAGAGGTTTATTCTGTACTTATTTTTAAGAACAGTGTCTAGGAGTTTAAAATATCCCTGGCCTCTAAATTATTCCAGGTCAAAAAGCTCTAGTGTTTCTGTACATTGAACCACCTGGACAGCAGTCACATGCTTTGATATGAAGGCACAAATCAGCTGATTCTCTTTGAAAAAGGAGGCTTGTTTAAAAAATTGCAGTAGGACTCCCATTTTATTTCATTACGATGACTTACATCTATACCTTTTTTACCCTGTCAGTGGACTGTAATGTATTGTGTAGCAAATGTTACAGTAGAAACTTTGTGAAGAAATAGGTGCTTCAGATGATCACATATGCACAGTGGCTTATTTCTTAAAGTTTTATTCTTATTAAATTTGAAATACATTCTTGAATTTGTAAGGTGTTCAAAACTAGTATTTCCTAAAATATTACTTTTTCTACGTCCTATGTAGTTTTAAGTGCTAAACAGGAATAACTATTTGTGTGAAAATTATCCAAAATACATTCTATATCTAGTCAGACCATCTCCTTTGCTATCTAATTTCGAATCTAACACTGGATTTAACAAGGCAGTTCTTTGACTAAAGAAGGAAAGCTTATAGTTCTTTACATACAAAGACAGCAGTTTGAAGGTTTGTAGTTCTTTATATACAAAATTGTGATAATGCTGGGGTTTGAAACTAAGTAGAACAACTTGGTATCCACTGCTTTGCCTTCAGAGAGATGGAGGCGTTCTTGTGTTTAGTTCTCATTGTTTCCTCCTACACTGGGTGGTGGATTTGGGAAATGAATGCATATGCATTCTATGTTCTTGTCCATATTTGATGCCGTTAGAAGTTAGCTGTCTGTAGACCGTAGTTAAAGGTCACTTTTGTCATCAGCCTGAGGTCTCTTTTCTTTTTTATTTTTTCTTTTTTTGTTTTTTCTTTCTTTTAAGTATGAAGGGAGTGAGATGTAGACCTACAAATACGCATGTGACTTGGGAATTCTGTGTTTCAAACAGAGTACCTGTAGGTCCTCTTGATTTTGAACAAGAGTTTTATCTGCATTTAGAATTTGGGGGATCACTTACAGGTTGGTTGATTGGAGAACTACCTACTTGGCTTTGGGAAATGAAAGTGCTCCTTACTTCAGAAGAGCTTTAATGTGACAAAGAAGGCAAAGGTGAATGTGAGAGTGTGTAGTTCATGAGTGGTTATTAACAATCAGCTTTGTGTTAGAAAGGAAGGTTTATTTTTAGCTTATAGAAGATACAGTTCCTTTAAATAAAACTTCAGATTCACTATGTGTGTTTGTTACTTTGGGAGTTAAATATTGCAATTCCTTGGCAAAGACAATAGACTGTGGCAATTGTTGTTTTGATATGAATGTTTATAAAGGGAAATAGTGTGATTCGGAAATGGGTTTGACAGTGGTGCTGTGTAGTCTAGAGTTTGTTTAACCTCGAGATTTTTTTAAGATTTTTTTTTTAAACACGTTTAATATAGAGCCTCCTTTGGATTAGCAGCAAGTAAAAATTTCAAGAATGTGGTGTGGTGCAGTGTCAAGACCTTGGTCATGCAGACATAGATAGCCTTGCAAATCTCAGAATAAATTGCACTAACTTACAGCATACTGCCATGCTGGGTGCATGTTTCTTTCTACTTGTGGTTTTATCATCTGTTAAAGGAAAAGATTTGAGCGATTAACATGATATGTTTTTGTATGGTAGTTAATCAAATTGAGAATTGACTAATGTTAAAGATTACATTAATACAATAAGCATGATGAGGTAGGAAGAAATTTTTGTTTTTTGAATATGCTCTACAAATACTAGCTTACTTTGAAAATGACAGCTGCTTGAATTATAATTATGTCAAGCCTCTCCAATGGCCTCATATAAAAATGGGGTCTGTATGGGACTGAGCATAATCGTTGTCCTGTAGAAGTCTTGTATACTTTTGTGATGTTAATACAACGTAACAACATCATTTTTGTTGTGTTTGTTTTGCCCTCTTGAAGCTTAACCTTGGAGATGATATCGTGAAAGTTGTAATCGATTGGAGCAAGCTTCAAAGCACATCAGCACTTCAGCCAACATTGCTCTTTAGTGCACTTCAGCAGCATATTTTATGTTTGCAGGTAAATATTTCATTGGACACGTTTGACTTGACAAGTGATCAACAACTGAATGTAGTTGTGGTATCTAAATGGTAACATTTCAGTCATTTTGATCTTATATTGCTATGTCCAACAAAAAAGAATGCAACACTATTATACACTTGGGATTCCACTATGCTTCATGGGTACTCATACTTAAGGATTTTTCAGATTAGTGGTGGAATAGCCACTGTAGGTGAGCAGGCTGAATAAATGCAGCCTCATTGATTTCTAGAGTTGCATTGTAAATGTGATACATTTCCATCTATGGTGGGTATAATTAAGCAATAAGACACGGCAGGTGTGTGTCATGCTATGATAATGATTCCATGCGTTGGGTGAGTTTTGAGGCTCATGGAGTGCTTTCAGTGGTTCAAGAAGTGGCATTATCCCAGCATGACACATCCTGGAGTGTCTTACTGCAATTAAATATATTTTCAGCGTAGGTTTTTTTTTTTTGTTTAAAGAGTAATTTCTTTGACATTAATGTCTCATCTTGCCAAGTAGCCAGTCACCATTACTGTCATTTCTTTTAACTATTTGAAACTTTCCAACACTGCCAAAAGTACGTGTAATTTAGTTGCATGGCAGGGAGGGTGAGCAATTTGTCAGCTGGTAACTGAACAGTGTTTTGACCTTGATAGTTCATCTGTAAAAGGTGGGGATTTGAATACCATTTTTTTTACTTCAGCTAGTCAATGAATTATTTCAAGTGTATAGTACTGAGAGGATGAAAGTTCTTGTGTTTGCTTGTCTGTAGGTAAAAGAAAGATCCATTATGCTTTCCAGACATCCACCAAATTTTTGGTGTGATGAACAAAAAGAGAAACTGTGCAAGATAAAAGCAAGTAAAAGTTACATCCAACTGTAAGAACACTGCAAGTAGGAATTTGATTCCATTTCAGGAGGTGTGACTGGTAAAAATCATGTTGTCTTTAAAAAAAAAAAAAAAAGTAATTTCTAGAGGGAAAATAAGCAGTGGAATTCAAACTAGATGAAACTGGTAACAATTAAAAAAGGAGGTGTGACGTATACGCACTGAGGTTTTGTTATTACATCTTGTGTAAGAGTTATTGCAGTAGAATAAGCATTTATTTTTGCTGCTACAAATGTCAATGCATTCTTTCATTTAATCTCATGACCTAAGTAGATAATCAACCATGTCAAGAAAAGCATGTGTTCAGGATAATGCCTGTATATTTCATGTCTGTGTTCTCTCGTTCACTCGGGCAACTGCAGTTTCAAGTGGAGAATGTAGTGCTTTGGTGATAAAGTAAAGGCTTTACAGTGTGAAAGCATTGGCTTTCATGTTAAGGACGAAAAATACTAAGCCTTACTGTTCTGAGTAGGCATTTGAATGACATGTTAATTAAGTGGCATTGGTGCCAACGACTAAAGCTTTGATTTAGCTAGTAACAGATGAGTAGCAGGCAGATTTTCACAGAAATTTGGGAGTTTTCCTATGCAAACCTCTAAAAGGCACAGGTCAAAAAGGCCAGAATCATGGTGTGCACAGTGTTTGGAACTATAACTTTTTTAAAATTTTATTTTATTACTGTGTTCAATCAGAGGCAGATGTTGTAATTCCTAAAATTATTTCAGTTGGTCTGTTTTAGAAATTATAATTGTACTTGGCTTTTTGCTTTTTGTTTTGGGGATTTTTTTTTTTTTAACACTAACCTACGGTTTTCTTTGTTCAGCCTCTTTTAGAAAAACTCCAGTCATTGATTAAAGAGGAAAATATAGGCCTTGTTGAACCTGCAGGTAAAACGGAAGGCCAAATTTGTGAAACAAGTTTAGGTGTTTATGATGGTAACTGTCAGACTGAAGAAAAGTATGCAAGTTATGACTTGGGAGATCTGAAGGATGCTCGTATTAATTTTGATCCAGAGGTGGTCCAAATAAAAGCTGGAAAAGCAGAAGTAAGTGATTTACCTAAATTAAAAAAAAAAAGAAAAAGACCTTTCTAAATTTAAAATTTAAAGAATGAAATAGATATATGCCATCATGTTTATTACCTGCAGATTGACAGGCGGATATCAGCCTTCATCGAGAGGAAACAAGCTGAGATCAATGAAAATAATGTCAGGGAATTTTGCAATGTTATTGATTGTAATCAAGGTAACTGGCTAGCCAGCCTTTAATCTTCATAGCAATTTAAGTTGTTGTTGTTTTTTTATTATTATTTTTCAAAAGCATTCTTCTATATTTGAAACAGAACTTTATTTTAAGAGTAACTTGTTTTAAAGTTAAGAACTTGCATGTGCACTGCAGATGTTGTCAGACAAAAAAAGAAAGTAGTCACTGGGTGACAATGTTTAATGCATCCCACACGGAAAGATTATAGCTATTACTGTGTTCATTTTGAGAACTGCCATCTTAAATCAGATGATTTTGTAGCTATTGTTCCCAATGTTTTAGCTAGATGTTCCTTCCAAAGTCAACAGAATTGCCATTCAGAAATGTCTTCTGAATTGCATATTCAAATTGAAGTTAATTTAATACTAGTTAAATGACAAAGAAGTATTTTTTGCAATCAATTTGAATTGCTAGCTACTTAGAATAACTTTTTTCCTTTCAACATTACTCACACTATTGGAGTTTTAATGCACCAACTTGCACAATTGGCTGTATCTATAACCAAACAATCTTAAATCCATCTGGTAGGCTGGATCCCATTAGCACAATCAGTAACTGTGTAACCAAATATGTCTTAAAAGTGAAGACGCTTTTATATACATAAGTAGTACAGAGATATTTTCTAAGTACCTGTGAACCCAGATGTACTTATGCTTTTAGAGATCAAAGCTTGTTGTTCCGTAAGCTTTATAGGAAGAGATTGTAACTCCTTGAATATTAGTTGGGATTGAAAATGGCATCTGAAGTCTAGTAGAATATACTAGACAGTAAAATACTGATACCTAGTATTGTTAATTATGTACGGAAGAAATGATGATAAGAACTTCCTTTGTATGTTCAGGCATAATAAAATATGTAAAGCTTTGGTGTATATGATCAGGGATTAAAATAAAAACATTAGAATAAACTAAGATGCCTGTACTGTAGGTTTTTATGGTTAAATTAAAGAAGTCACAGGAAGGTGAGAAAACTAGACCAGTCTAAAAATAGGAAGAGAACAGTTTCAAAAACCTTAAAAAAGGTTTTAAAAGCAGAATAACGGTGGTAGGCAGGGAAGAGACTTCTGTTCAGGAAGAAAGAAATAAGTTACAGAGAAATGCAATGAAAAGATAGAACCAAATAAAATGTAAATGGGAAGAAATTTGGTCCTGATCCAATAAACTTTTATATACATGTGTGCATACATTTATGTGACTTGTCTAATTAAAGCCAGTAGGTCCATGCAAGTGTGTGAAACTATTAATGAGCAAGTGTTTATAGAATGAATGAAGTATTTCTGATGTTTTTATTGAATAAAAAAATTTAATTAGATTTGTTAAAAGCCTCAAAGCTGATGATGGTTAGAATATTTTAAATTATAAATACATAATTAGGACCTCACTTGTATTATTGTTATTATTATTTATTTAGAAAATAGCTGTGCCAGAACAGATGCAATTTTCACACCCTATCCTGGATTTAAAAGCCATATAAAGGGTAAGCAACTATTTTAATACACATTTATTAAGAGTGTCCAGATAGAACAGCACTGAGGAATTTTTTACTTTAAAACTTCTTATAGAATGCTCAAAAAATGCAAACTTATCTATTGATTTTTTACTCTAGTGAATGCTTTTACATTTTTGCTTACTTCTCCAAGGTTTTCAGTCCCATAACTGCTTCATTAAGCTGATGGTTTTGCACTAAAGACCAAAACAAAGTAGCCTGTTTTCATTGTCTGAAAGGAAAGATGCAAAAGATAAAGCAGGACAGAGAAGCTGAACAATTCCTAGTTTTTCTTCTTAGGTAAAGCCAGCAGTCTGGTTAAGGAATTGAGATTAAATAAGATTATCTTCTATTTTTTGTTAGTCTGTGTAAGTATATTGAATTAGAAAATAGTTTTGGGACATAGTGAAAGTTCCGAGACATGGATTTATGGGAAGTGACCAGCTGGAGAACAAGCTTACCGCTGCACTACCTTTTGGAAAGGGGTGAATAGTGTAGAAATGGTTGTCCAACAGAAGTTAGTATAAAAGATCGCCTGTCCATCTACTGCTCTCTAGGTGTACCAAGTTACTCTCTTTAAAAAGAAACCAACAAAATCTCCAAAATGAGAATGAAAGTAACCCTGTCTTCCATTTCCGAGAGTGGCAGTATTCATTGGTTCTAGAAACCAATTCACTATTTTGAATTCTGGAATTCAGTGTAGTACTGTGAAGCACAATGATAAGTATAAGCATTGAAAGGTCTGTTGAGCTAAGAGGGAGATGGGGAAGTGAGTTTGAGTTTAGAATCTTTCACTAAGAGCACCTTTCAGTAGTCACTTTTTTAAGCTGCGTGCTAATTTTTGTGACTTGGATGGTAGCGTATTACGGGAAAAAGAAAAGTTTACTCTTCAAGTAACTAAAATCTAAACAGTTTGTAATTGAAACGTGAATAATGCTTAGAAAAGAGTTGGAAGTAAAACTGTCATAAACTGATGCAAAACTGTAGCATGTGACCTTCATGAAGTACTGAGTGAGAAGGGGTGCGCTTCAGTGTCTGGAGTTGCCAATGTAGTCTTTAAGTCTGCAGTACACTATGGTAGTCCTGTCAGACAGTACTTGAGAAATGACCATGACTTAAAGAGAAGTGACCAAAATCTTCTGATGAAGACATGGTT